AGAATGTACTATAGTATACTAAAATATTGCAGGGAATGCTGCTCTAGCCTCGGCCCAGCTCCAGGGTGCGCCCGCCAGGTCATAATCAAGGAAACCTCACTGGTGTGCTGTTCTTTATGGGTAATATGGTAGCGCCCATAATTGAGGGTCCTCTTACATAACCCAAATGCTATCACCATCATCATCGTCATCATCANNNCCCCCCCCCCCCCCCCCCCACAAGGCAGGTCCCTGCTGGGTAGTTTTTATGGCAGGGATGCTGCTTATTTGCCGGGTATATAGGGAGGACCCTAATTGTGAGAAGCTCCCATATTTGAGAATCATCAACATATCGTAATTACGATGGATGTCGCCTGTACGTGCACTTGCTAACATCCCAATGATATGTGGCGATTGTTAAAACAAGCAATACATGCGCCGCTCAAGCGACTGTTGAGCATACCGCTATGAACTTACGACTGTTCACCTTTCGCAAGGATAGGTTCGTTTTCCTCATGATGTTATTTCTGAACGAACCTGCATGTAATCCCTACGAGGGAACCCTTTTGAGCCTCCCGCAATCCCTGTATGTCCCTGGACCCCCCAGGCACCCAGTTCAAAGCACTCACCTTGTCCTGAATCTTTGCCATCATCAATTAACAGTAGTTTCTATAAATTGGTGGCCCTACTACAAACCCCCAGGCACTACAACCTACACCACCCAAAAGGTCCAAATTACCGGCTTCGGGCTGAAGCCGGCTGTGATGCTGTCACGCAACGCTCTAGACCAGGACGCAGCAGCAAGGAATCGCACTCCTTGCTGTGCCGGGCAAAGGAGTAAAACACCCCCCTATACAACCCCAAAACAACAATGTTGCAGTCTAAATATGCTGGCGAAAACAGTTTCCAGAACAGCCGGGCCACGATGAAGAGAGCCACGGTACCACCCACGGCCTCGATCCACGATAGCAGCACCTGTCTGCAAAAAGGCAAAGGGCAACCCTGGCGGTGCTTAAAACTGGTGTGGTAGTGGCAGCACTAGCAGCTGCAACTATGTTGATAAGACTCACAACATTACTCGCTTATTCTTCTTCTTCACACCGTGCCTGAGATCTGCGAAAATTCGCATAGGCCTGGGGGCCGAATTCGCTGATCGGAAGGCAGCGCACATGAAGGAAGGACCAGGTCCTCATGCTGCCATGGCGTTGTCAAAAAAACCCTAACTCCCTAAACCCTAACCCTAACCCCGAAACCCTAGACCCCAATCCCCAAACCCACCCTGAACCCCACAAGGAAGCCTATCCTGACGATCTGCTCCACGAAGCTCTTGTTTCGCAGGCCGCACACCAGAAGAACCGCCCAGGAACCTCAGGGTTACCCGTGTGGGGTTGAACAGGGCTTAGGGGTGAAGGCCTAGGGTTTAGGAAGTAGGGGTTAGGGTGTAGAGCTGAGGGGTTTAGGGGTGTACGGCTTAGGGTTTAAGGCTTAGGGTTTGGGATTTAAGGGTTTAGGGAGTGAGTAGAACCCCGAATAAAACTAAGCCTCAACCCTAAGCTTCATTTTTTTTGTGATTTTACTGCAAATTCGAATGAGGCCTACTGTAGCTTCTATGCGGTTCTCTCAAAATCTGAGGCTAGCTAGGGCCTGGGGATCACTCCATACAAGGGGCCCGAGGGATGGATCATAAGGAGATGATGGGCACTGTTAGGTGAAGCACAGCAAAGCAGAGCCATTTAGGGATTTCAATCCCCTTAAAGGAGATAAAGAGGTTGTAGAGAGGGATCTAGAGGGCTCCAGGTTTCCAAGCATTAGGGGGTGCCTTTCAGAAGGATTGTAGTATCATGGTATGTCAGGACCCCAGCTCCGCTGTTGAAAGCCCCCTCCTCGAAACCTCCAAAGAGCCCGAACAGAGCCGACCATTTTTCGATGCAGAGTTCTATGTACGTGTTGGGGAGGGCCCATCTCATGTGAAGGCTTTCTGAAGTCTTGTTGTTTTGTCCAACTGACACCATTTGCACTCTTAACTATCCCTACCAGTACCGTAACTAGCACCACGATGACTACTACTTCCCTGCTGCCACTACTACTCGTGGAAACATGTCACATGATAAAGGGAGGCTTCTCAAAAATTAATCTACACTCCTAGTATCCCCTTAATAAGCCCTATAGTAGTCCCCAATACAATCCCCCCAATAACCCCCTTCAAGGAGTTTAGACTAGAGCTCATATGTCAGCCCCGACAAACGTGACCTTGGCCAAGTGTCTGGGCTCCAGATGGCCCAGAGCAGCGCGGAGCACCACCTCAAGGTCCTGCCGTGGTCTGAGAGCATATATGAGTAGTGTTTTTTTGGTGGTTGAACCTAGTAAGAATATATCCCTGATATAAAATAGTATACCCAAAAGGAGGATATAATCTTACTCTATATTGGGTACCATAGTACCCCCAAATAACAATGCTACTCACATTGGCGGGGTTCCCTAAACTTACTGGGGTTTAGTAGGGAATAAGGGAATGCACTATATGGCCGTTACAAAGACTATATAGGGAATATATTGAATATATCCCCTCATTCCTCGGGAACAGCCAAAGCAAAAACGCCAGTCATGTCTGCGGAGTAGTAACAGTACTCGCAGCTACATGTGTGTTCCTAATGTTGCTGCCCTTGCATGCCCAAGGCGCAACATGATAACCATGCGAACTGAATGTATCATAGTACCGGCCTACAACATCCTACCATGTAGATATCAGGGACACTTTTTGAGTACTGCCCTCACGCAGTAGCAGTCTACAACGTCGGGTAATATTATGGGCTGTAGATATTCACATGATCATTATTCTCCGCTGTTCCTGGGCGGGGCAGTGATTACTCAGGATGTTCTTGCTGTATAAGCAAAAAATCCAAAGCACTGTGATGGACATGCCTTTCAGAGGATGTAACACGGGGCACCATCCTAAGACTTTTCCAGGTTGATCCAGGGATAGATACGGAGATATTTGAGTACAGTCCCGATTAACTAGATAGAATAAGGGGTATATGGGATCTGACTATGATTTTGGGGGCTTCCATATTCTATTTACTTAAGGGTGACTAACCCTTTGTAAGGTCTGAGGATTAGGGTTTCCAACCGAATAATCTACATCAGGTATATACAAGGACAACGACTCATCCATTTTTGAAAAGATTGCGCTTGCAATGCTTCCCACAATGGGCTATCAAACCTTAAGGGTACCTTGATCCACCCCAATCAGGGTCCTAAATACGCAATTTTAGGGTCTAATAGCCCGTAGTCGTACCTTTTGTTAGTGCACTTGCAAAAGAGCCGGATTGTAGTTGAAAGCTCGGATTGAGACTGGGGATGCCCGAGTCTATGGCCAGGACCACGGTGCATCTGCTGTACTATCTCAAGCATGCTGAAACACACCGATATGGGTGGTTGCTAAAATTATGGTTCCTCTTTGGATCCCTATTATAATACGCCACCTAATATTTAGGGTACCCCAAAAGGGATCATAATTTTGACAACCACCCATATGCATAATCTTAAGAAGATCCCAAAAAAGACAGCTCACCTCGTGTTCGCGCATCTCGATGAGCACCAGGACGCGCTGCGAGTGTTTGGGCAAGCCTGCATATAATCCGCTTATTGGATGCCACAGTTGTCTACATCTCAGTTATGTTCCTGACGACTGCTACCATTCTTGCATCTTCATCATGTACACGTTTTCTTGCCTGAGCGTTGCACCTAGCCGCGCAGCCAATATCCAAGCAAATTTGAGCAACCATTGATTGCCCACGGAAACGTTTTAGCTCCCAACTGCCTTCATGCGCGCACGGGGCAGTGCGACCGCTCAAAGCAGACACAAACACCTGGTAATCTACGAGCCTAGATGCGACATCTTTGGCAATGTTGCCCACCATGATGTCAGAAGCCAAGGAATGTTCAAATCACAGGAGGCCAGTGTGTTTGCATGACAGTGGACCATTGAGTGAGCTCGCCTGCTCTCGCAATGCACAAAGTCGCATCTTGGAGCTCAGGCCCCCGCTGAGGGGTCTGCATCATGTGCAGTCTTCATCTTGTGGCCGATGTGAAAGTAGTGGAAGGTGGCCTCGCAGCCTTTCTGCTCTATTGGCGCAAAGCAAAACACTCCCATCTTCCATGGCTTGCCGTGGCTTCGGAAGCTTGCTATGCGAATAAATGCAAAGTCGGCAGCGGTATCTGCCATGTCCCCAGGATGCCAGGGTGCTGCTTCAACCACTACTGCAGGACCCTGCTCTGGGCCTGGGGATTCCCGATGGAGCCGAAGGCGCAAGGATGTGGAGGACCCATCCCAGTGTGGCCACTGCTGGGTGCTCCAGTCAGAAAAGCCGTCGTTCGTGATCACGCAGGAGAGCCTGGGAACGCCATCACAAAATTCAATGCCTGCTTTCACCCACGTGGATTCATCCACGATCACCATCGCACCAGCTTGATCGAACTGAGCATGAGGGTTGAGGGTGAAGGCCAGGGACATTGTTGCCTCTGCATCGGGCACTGGGCAAACAAGGACCTGGCCATCATTTTTGATAAGCAGCGGTTTGTAGAAGGTCCGGCTCCAAAAATCACGCTGCGGTGTGGGCTGTATCCGAAGGCCGCGTCCACCTTCGACTAGTGACCAGTTCTCAGGTGCTGAAGGCTCCCAGGCCAGACTCGTATCAGCGAACGACTCCACACACAGCATGGCCACGTTGGCACGTTCGGTGGCAGTAGGTTAGCTTTGACCAGCACAGCTACGGCACAAGTTGGGCTTGTTGGGTTGGACTGGAGCCAGAACAGTTGCCCTTCCTCACTTCAAATGGCAATGGAGGGAGTGTAGAGACAGCACAGCATGGGGCTTACTCCTTCCCCCGCTAAGAAGCTGCAAATGCCCTCAGTACGCTCCCGCGGCCAAGATTATGTGAGGTTCTATGTTAGTTCGGGGGGCCGAGTAAACGCAGCTCGGCCTTTGATGGGCCAGCGGTCCATAGTGCGCCGTAGTATCGCAAGATGCTCCTGGAGCTGGCTACAAGCATCAGCAGGAATCATGCTGGTATCTCCCTCAGTCTCTCCTTCCAAACAGCCATCCCATGTTGGACACCAACGCTTTGTTACCATCCCGCCTTCCAGACACGATGACTTTCCTGCTGCCATTCCCGCCATTGGACGCCGGTTGTGCTTGCGACTCCTGCGCTGCGACATTGAATAAGGCACCCTTGCGACCTGTCTCCGTGTAGGAACTGCGCCCACATCAACACATTATGATGATTAGGACCTAATAATTAAGAAGGTTGCCCCCACCCCTGCCCCGCGATAACCCTTCGCAGCCCTACACCCTAGGCTCCAAAGCCCTACAAGCGCCTCCATTCCCCACTATAACATACTATAATCTACCATAGTATACTATAATCATCTATAATCTACCATTAATTTTCCCCGTTCCGTGAACTTAGCAGGAAGAAGCGGACTGGTAACGTTTTCCTACTCAGCCACTGCTAGCTCTCCAGATCCTCAAGTTACATATCTCCCAGCATTGAGGGTCTGTTTTTTGGGGGTAGCCGTATTAAGGAATATCGTATTTTGGGAGTCCATATTGGCGTCCCAGTCTTTATGGAAACTACTATAATCAAAAGACTTTAAGTTTGTACCCTTAATGTTTGTAACCCTGAGTTTTGAGTCCCAAATACCCTTATTAAGGGATATATTCCATGGTTTAGGGAGCCAAACCCAAGGCTACATACCCTAAGGGTAGAAAGGAAACTCCCCAATATAGAGCTCCTGGCCCAAAGCTCGCAGCCCTTTTGTAGCTCGCAGCCCTAACTACTAGGGTTTAAGATTTAGGGTTTAGGTTTTAGATGGATGTAGGGTTTAGGATTTGCGGTTTAAGATTTAGGGTTCGGATGGATTTAGGTTTAGGACTTAGGCACGCGCATCGCACTGAAGCTAGGTTAGGGCTTTCGGGTTTAAGATTTAGGGTTCAGGATTATTAGGGTTTAGGATTTAGGGCGTAGGTGATTTAGGGTTCAGGGCTTATGGATTTTTTTGCCAATATCATGTTCAGGTCTTTTCCAAGCACTATACCACCACAATGCACGGAATCTAAGACTGAAATGCCGGTAATTCTCTAGGCAGCAACACCCAGAATCCAAGTCCTCCCTGAACCCTAAACCCTACACATGCCTGAAACCCAAATCCACAATCCAAGTCCTCCCCTAAGCTCGTCTGGGTCTGCACCGGCCCGCCCCGGCAAGCCACGAAGGACATGTAAGCAAAAGCCTCGGGCGCCATGTTTGTCAACAGGGTTTAGGGTTTAGGGGTTTAGGGTTTAGAGCATTGGGGAGGGTGCGGGGGATTAGGTTTCCTTCAGGAAGGAGTCCACACTGCAAACATGAGAGATTATGTGGGTTTTGGGGCGACCAAGAGCTTCGCACAGCTGCCGTGATGCGAAACGTCGTAACCCATAAGCTTGGGGATTCCTCATTGTAGGAATTGGGAAAAGACATGCAATTGAGCTATAGTCTAAACTCCTAGTATCCCCCTTAATAAGCCCTATAGTAGTCCCCTATATATAACCCCCTATATAACCCCTTAAGGAGTTTAGATTATGGCACAATTGGGGCAACACGAAATCCAACCGGTCAAAAGTTGTAGTTTTGGGCGCATTTGCAGCAGCACTCATCTGAGTCGACTGCGTTGGCGCAAAACTTTGCAACCCGTTCATTTCAGGGTTTTGGGTTTAGGGTTATCATGCCCCAACATAGTTGGGGAATGATTTGTGTCGATGTCAAGAAGCACAGCGCCTGCATATCGCCATCGCCTGGGTCAACATGAGATCAGCAACCGTCTAATCTCTTGGTATCCCCTCTTATAACCCCTATAGTTGTCTCCTATATAATCCCCTATATGATCGCCTTTAAGGAGTTTGGGGTATAGCTCACATGGACATTGTTGCAAGCTGTCTACGCTCTCAGTCACACTCAGGCTCAGGTCTCGAAGCGGAACCTATTCTTCAGCAGAATGAGTAATCTGCAGCAAGGGGGCTCCAAAATGAAGGGACCCTCTTGTGGGGGCACAGAAAGTCAGTGTAGCATATTGAGGTCCATATTGGGGTACCTAAGCCCTAAACATACAACTGTCACAAAACGCATCCACTCCTGGGCGATGGGTCCTGATGCTATGACATGCTGCTGGTAGCTCGTTCAGGGTTTAGGGTTTGTTAGGTCAGCTGATGCAGGGGGGTGTGCCGCACATATGCCTTCAGGGTTTCTATACAAGAATGTCCCTTTAAACTACTAAGAATGTGCTAAACCCTGGCATAACATGCTACTTCTGTTTGGGATACGTGGGCCCCAAGTTTTGGCACGTCACGTAATTTCACCCCTCCCGAAACCCCTTACCCACACTAATACTGAAGTGCCGGTAACACGTCATATCATCGTATTTCGGAAATCTGTATTGTGACCTTGTGAGGGCATTGAATATCCGGGTATCAGGGGGAGGGAATTACGTGCTCTTCCCCTAAACCCTAAACCCTATAGACCCCTGTCTAATATGAGCCATAATCTAAATTCTAGTATCCACCTTAATAGCCCCTATAGTAGTCCCCTATACAATTCCCTATACAACCCCCTTCAAGGAGTTTAGAGTATAGATCATATAGGCAATGATCGATTGATGCATCGAAGCAGCCAGGCAGGACCATGGCTCCGCTGGAGGTCCATAGGCCGCTGCGGTTGCTTAGGGTTAGGGGTTTAGGGTTTAGGGGTTTAGGGTTGAAGTTAGTGTTTAGGGGTTTAGGGCTTAGGTTTGAGGGTTTAGCCTTTCTTTTAGAAGGCGTGGGTTCTAGGGTTTAGGGCAGGACACATGTAAGGCTAGGATTATGTGGAGTTTTGCATTTAGGTAGGGCAAGGATTATATATGGTTGTGTAGACTATAGGGGATTTTGTAGGTGCATATAGTGTTATTTGAGGTCTAGTGCGCTTAGGGATATTGCCTCAATGGTGGAGAGCCCATAGGCATGAAATGGACTCTCGGATGATATGGGGATTTAGGATTTGATAAGGGTTTAGGGTTTGATTTGAGCCTCTTACACGTACAAGAAGCACTATAACAAAGCCTTGCTCAGCATGGGCTAGGAAGTGTTTGCCGATCTTCTGCACTGGGGCGTCTCGAAATTTTGTGACCCGCGGTGGGGAAATTTTTTGAGCGCATGAGTACGCGGATTTCAAAACATCAAACTTCAAGGAATGACTGGGCGACTCCCCTCACCCTCAGTACTCGCCCCAAAAGACATGGAACCCCCAAAAAAGGGTCTATGTAGAACACCCTCCTCAAACAAGGGGGCAACACAGCCATACTGGGGGAGGGCATTATTGCTGAAAAGTCCATAGCCTGTGCCCAATGTCCCCAGCATTGCTGCGAATAATTACTGATGTTAGTTGGTGCTTGCTGCTACCATGCTTACCAGAATCAATCAGAAATCATGTTCTCCCCCATGCGCTTGCTGCAGCTGAGTAAGGGGCCTTTTGGTAGCCAGAACCACTCCAATTCGGGCCATACAACCATCATATGAGCATAGTAAGGTTTCCACATTGGGTGTTGAGGGCTACCAAAATACTCTTAGTTTCTATAGAAACTTCATGTAATCCGTAATAACCCATATATAGCCCTCAAAATAGTACCTATTCTATTCCCCGTATAGCTTTATACAACCCTCAAAATAGTACCTATTGTATTCCCTATATAACTTGATACCCCTCAAAATAATGACTATCATATTCCCTTTGCGTAGACTATGTATGTTCCGAGCAAACGGCTGATGTGCTCCCAGATGACAGCTGCAGGTAGCCAAGCCTCAGGATGTAGGGTTTAGGGCAAAATGGTTTAGCGTTGTTCTTGCTCGTTCTTAGTAGGGAAATCAGGATCGAAAAAGAAGGTGGAAACTGTTGTTTGGGGCTTCGGGTAACGTAGGAAAGGAAAGGAAAATGCGGAGTACAATGTACTCCCTACTGACAATCAGTAAGTCGTCTGCCAACTAGTTGCTCAACCACTTGCTCGTTAGGGCTGGGTGCGCCAATTGCATGGCACGGGGCAGCGCAGGGCAAATGCGGGCTCGGTTGAGGTTTTCGAAGAGTAAAGCAGCAGGAATGGAAATTTGCCTGCGCTACTGCCCCGCAAATTCATGTTGGGATCTGTGTTCTCTGGTCTCGCAGGAACTCTTGTTTTGCATGCGCTAGCACCCAACTCTACTGCCGCATTCTAGTATAGCACTGTTTGCTTAGAGTGATGTCTTCCCATAGCCTGCCCTAGGCACCGCATGCATCTTGATCAAGGTGATGCTTGCACAACTGCGATGGTCGTTGATGCTCATTTTTCTGCTCATCTTCCTGAGGAGCCCAGTATACACTCAGCAAGTACCATACTACATTATCCCTATATCCCAGTATATAATCGCTATACCCTAAACCCATATTATCCCTATCCCCCTATGTAATCCCCATAATCTTCAGCTCACATCTTCGAATGAAGTCATTACTTGGGGCCTGGCAATGCCAAGGTCTCGCAATCCTTGGGCTGATGGCCTTAGGAAAAGATTAAGGGTTTAGGGTTTAGGGTTTAGGGTTAGTAATAAAAGCAATAATAGGAAAAGTAAAGTAATAATCATAAATTAATAGGTAATAGTACCAATAATAGCAATACATAGAC